TGCCTGCTCCTCCCTGGCCGCCCTTGGCGCCGCCGCGGCCCTTGCCGCTGCCCCACTTGGTCCCTCGCGGGACCACCAGCTCGTCCTCGCTGTCCGACAAATCGAAGGTGACTCGGCTCCGTCCTGCCGATGTCGCCCGAGCCTTGTACAAAGGTACTCGAGAGCCGCAGCCACGGCAGGTGCATCCTGCCTTGGCCAGCTCGGCGTTGTACTCACATACTCCGCAGTCTGGGCACCTGCTCCATGGGCCCCGACTCCTTGGGACAGACGATCCCCGTGCCATTGTTTTTTCCCCTGCTTTGGTCGAGATCTGGCGCAATTGTTCGGAAGGTGGCGCCCAAATCTAGTCACTCAAGTGCCTCGGTGCGGCACAGGGGAAGGAGGCCAAAACAAAATGATTTGACCCCCAATACTTGAGGGAGGAGGAGGAGGAGGAGGAGGAGGAGGAGGAGGAGGAAGAGGAGGAGGAGGAGGAGGAGGAGGAGGGGCCAGGGTCGGGGCCCGCCCCGGGCGGTGACGAGCTCCTACCCGCGACGAGCCCGGGGGCCCCCAGCTGCGGTCTGACGGCCGCCACGCGCCCTCCCCGGAATGATGTCGTTGTCTGGGCACGCTTCCGCACACTCTGCAGTCCCCTCTTCCGTTGCCGCGTGGTGCAACGACGGGGGAGGGGGGGGGGGGGCATGGCGCCGAGGGGGGGGGTGAGGCGACGGCAGAGGGGGGGGGGGGAGCAGGAGGGGGAGAGCGGAAAGGGCGGCGAGGAGAGGTGGAGAGAGGGGGGGATGCGGGTTCACTGATCTTGGCGATCATCTCGGTGTCGGCGTCAGCCTCGATTTGGTTTGGTCCGTGGATGTGACCCCTTTTTTTCTGTCCAGCACGAGTGGCGGGCCAGACAAGCTCCCCCCTGCAAGTCTGAAGCCGTACAGCATCTAGCTTCCAGAGAGCTGTCCAGTCTTTAGTATTGTGTGTAATTGATAAAACACGTGCCTAGGCTTTTCCAGAATATGAGCACAGGCTCAGAACACCGAAATCAAAGAACACTCGAATTGCTAAACACCTCACATCGCTGGAAATTTGCGTCCCTGACTCTGGATCCGCCGCATGTTGGTTGATTTTCCGATTTGCACGCGTGTCGGAAACGCAACCCACACGATGCGAAAAAGTAGGGCGAGCACCTTCGCCTCAGAAAAGCAGGGCGTTTACCTCCGCAGAGGTGTTACGAGAACAGCGACGGCAAAGTAGGGCGGACATCGACATCAAAGGAGCTTGAACAGTTGGGCAGAAATTTCCACCCTACTTGCGAAATCCTGCCAAAGCACTGCGGATCGGGGGTCAGGGGGGCACCGAGTGGCAACGCGAACAAGCGATCAATCGAGGACGACGATTGCGGCGGCCGTGGCGCTGGTGACGAAGACGGCGGAAGCCCTGAGATACGGAAGCCCTAAGCTGCAGAAGGGCTGCACGACGGAACGCCAAATAAGGAACGACGCCCCTTTCTGGCGCCATCACCGCCTGGATGCACGAGGAAGGCCAGCGGAACCAACAAGGAATGACCTGATGAACAGCGAGCTCCTCCTTCCGAGCCCGAATCGGCTCTTACTTCAGCGTCTTGACTGTGCCACGAAGTCGCCCAAAGCACCCCAGGCATGCGACGTCCTGATTTTTTCAGGACGGCGTCCCGGGAAGTCCCCTTTCCCCAGGACCGGCTCCTCATCCCGAGTCGTCCTTTGACGGCCCCGGGGTCCGGCGAGGGCCCTTAGGGATCGAGCATAGCGAAAAACTTGCCGCCCCGATTTCTTTGAAGTGGCCTTGGGACACACAAATACAGGATTCCCCATCTTGTCCTATATATTCTGGGTTTTTGTCTTCCCCCCAATTCCCATACCTTTCCATATTTTCCTGGGAGTCGACGGTTCATTGTGTCTGTGTGTTTTTTCCCCCCTGATTCTTCACGACGCGATCGTGCCTGGGACTGCGGACTGAGAAGGAGGAGGAGGAAGAGAAGGAGGAGGAGGAGGAGAGGAGGAGGAGGAGGAGGGAGCGGTGCGGAGGAGGAAGGAGGAGGAGGAGGAGGAGGAGGAGGAGAGGAGGAGGAGGAGGGAGGAGGAGGAGGGGAGGGAGGAGGAGGAGGAGGGGGGAGGGAGAGGGGGAGGAGGAGGAGGAGGAGGAGGATGAAGGAGGAGGAGGAGGAGGAGGAGGGGAGAGGAGGAGGAGGAGGGGAGGCGGAGGAGGAGGGGGCTTGAGGAGGAAGAGGGGGAGGGGGAGGCGGAGGGGGAGGGGTGGGGGGGAGGACAAGTAGGTGCGCTCGCGTCATATCTGACGTCCTATCCCTCCCTCCCATCCCTTACCATGGCGCTGATTTTCTCTATCCGCGGACGCGTGTCGTAGCGGACCTGTGGCTCCGCGCGCGCGTGCGTACTGGGTGGTGGTGCGCGTGCGTGCGTGCGTGTGTGCGTGGTTGTGTGCGTGGTTGTGGTTGTGGTTGTGGTTGTGGTTGTGGTGGTGGTGGTGGTGGTGGTTGGTGGTGGTTGGTGGTGGTGGTGGTGGTGGTGGTGGTGGTGGTGGTGGTGGTGGTGGTGGTGGTGGTGGTGGTGGTGGTGGTGGGTGGTGGTGGTGGTGGTGGGTTGGTGGTGGTGGTGGTGGTGGTGGTGGTGGTGGTGGTGGTGGTGCGGCGCGATGGTGGCGGGCGGATGGGCGCGCGAGAAAGAGGCCCGCGCTGGGGCGAGAACGCCATCCTGAACGACGGAGGCCAAACACCGATCCGAAAATGAGGCCCACGCTGCAGCGGGAGCACGATTCGGAACGATTCGGGAGCAGAAATGAGGCCGGCGCCTCAACGAGAGCAGCATTTTGGGAAAAAACGACGCCGGCGCCTCAGCGAGAGTCGTTTCCCGGGATTTCCGGGAATCCGGTGTGTAAAAAAACAGTACGCGGAGGGTGCGTGGCCATCACCCGGACGCCATCAGGGGAAGAGGGAGAGTATTTTCATTTGAGCAATTGTGAGGAGGAGGCGGAGAAGGAGAGGAGGAGGAGGGAGGAGGCGGAGGAGGAGGAGGGAGGAGGGAGTGGAGAGGAGGAGGGAGGAGGGAGGAGGGACGAGGAGGAGGGCGGAGGGAGGAGGGAGGTGGGAGGGGGAGGAGAAGAGGAGGAGGGAGGAGGGAGGAGGGAGAGGGAGGAGGGAGGAGGGAGGTAGGGAGGAGGGAGGAGGAGGCGGAGCGAGGAGGGGACGGAGAGGAGAAGGAGGAGAGATGCAGAGGGAGGAGGAGAAGCAGGGGAGGAGGTAGGAGGACGGAGGAGGAGGAGGAGGAGGAGGAGGAGGGAGGAGGAGGGAGGAGGGAGGGAGGAGAGGGAGGAGGGAGGAGGGGAGCGGAGGAGGAGGAGGAGGAGGAGGAGGAGGAGGAGGAGGAGGAGGAGGAGGAGGATTTTTTAACGCTCGACCTCTGCTTGGCCCCCAACGAGTGGGGACCGCCTCTCCTCACAGCACAGTCCAGGGAGAGGGCAAAAACTGTACGTTCTTCTCCCTCTTGATCTGCTGTGGGTGTCGGCCTTGGATTACATAGTTCCAGGCCGTAAGTCCTGCCCCTGTCTTTTTACAGGAACAGGGTTCACCCAGCTTCTTGACGCGGCCGCCTGTGCTGTAAGAGCCGCACCGACGGCAGATACAGAGGAAAGGGCCGTCCGTGCAGTCCAACAACGCACAAAGATGGTTGAACTGCTCAAGGAGGCTCGGGCACAGGCGGGGAGGCACTACACAGTGGCCAGGCGCTGGGCGCGCCTGACCTCGCTTGCCTCTCAGACACGTGCTGCACTGCCAAAACTCCCCAGACCAACACCACACGTGTGGCGTCTTCGACGTCTGAGCCGGTGGGGCCTGGGGCTTGATGAATTGAACGCCAGATAAATCGAGCCGCGGCCAGCGCGGCAAGAGCTTGGCTGCCAAGAGGACGACAGCCTTCGCAATCCTGATCTCACGCTCGACGCGAGACAGGACGACAGGGTCGGCTTGGGGATGGACACTTGCGCCCCGCTTAGCCGCGAGGTCGGCATGAAAGTTACCTGTCCTCCGCCGAGCCTCCTGAGCAGAAATTCCTGCTTCATCTACAGCTTTGTGCGCGGCGACTTTGACCAGGCCCTGGAGGAGGGGGCCAGCGCCCGCGAAGGCTTCCAGGACCGAGCCCGCGCAGGCCCTATGCCCCCCCCCAGGCGGTCCCGAGGCGCCCTGGAACACGCAGAAATAACCGACGCACAATCCGAGAAAAGAGTCGCTGGCCCATCTAAATTGACACCAGCAGCAGCCAGTGCCGTGAACTCACCAGCCTGAGATGACTGCGGCAAGTGAGAAAAGACAGGCCCTAGCACTCTGGCCAAGAGATGGCCCTGAACAGACAACAGCACAAAAGCCCAGCCAGCTCTGGGCAATTCACGAATCTTAGACTGAAAACAACTGCCGCCCAGGAACAAACTGCCTTCAAAGCGAAAATTCTCGGGCCCTTGGAACTCCAAGCCTGAATCCTGGAAACCTTCCTGGAAGAACTCCATCTTGACCGCATCCGAGTCCTGCTGGCTGACTGATTGCGGCACATAGTCGCCAGGATGCGCAAAGGCATCGTCAAGAAGTTCAAGGTCCCCAGAGTTCTGGTCACGCGCGTCCCTAGCCCAAGAGATGACCTCCTCATCCACCAGCTCCTTCCATGCCTCCATGCATGCTTCACACCCCCATAGTCTATGAAAGACAGAATCCACCTTAGTGTGACACAGCGGGCACAGAGGGCACACTTGGTAGCCATACCTTAGTGCGCGGGAGTTGGTCCACAAGGCATTCCAGGTGAGGGCACGAACGGAGCCTTTTTCCCAGGCCGAGAGCTTCTTCGAGCGGAGACCAGCCGTGACGACATCGAAACAAAGGCGATCCGATCCTTCGAGGTCGGGGGGCTTCCGATCGGGGGCCAACTCCACGGCAGCAGGCTCATCTAGGCCTTGGGCAGGCTCTGGCGGAGGAACTCCAACGCCACAAAAGAGATCGCCGTCCACCAGCTTGCCGTAGGCCGCTCTCTCGAGCTGGCGCAGCACAGCCTGGCGCAGCAGAACCTTGAAAAGCGCTGGCGAGAGCTGCGAACAGGAGAGCTCTCGACCCATATCATCAGTGAAAACTACCATGTTCTTCATATCCCATCCAATCCTCCTGAGACTCACGAACATGGCACTCATCGGTCCCGAGACGCTCCTCCAAGTGACAGATTGCTGACGACTGCGGAAAACACTTTCCCAGGGAGCCCGAATAGTAGCCCAGTCCAGGGTACCTGGAAAAGCACTGGTCCTGAGAAGCCAGACCTCTTTGATGTAGCACAGCACGGGCGCGACCGAGCCGTGCCAAACAGGGTCCCCTTCAATGAGCGACAGCACCGTCAGCGATCTGCGAGCGGCATCTGGCTTGATGGAGCTGGCTGCCACACGCCGAAGACTGTGAACCTCTCCGTCCGCGAGGCCCTGGACTTCACATCCATAAATATATCCAGGCAGCGGGCCAGCAGAGAACACCTTGATAGCTTTCCTCCCAAAGTGAGAACGGAACCGCTTCGAACGAGTAGCCTTGCGCTGCATCTTGATCTTCCTCTCCTGACGCTTCCTCATCCTCCTCTTGCCCGTCCTGAAACACTTCCCAGCCGCGTCGTCGCAGCCGAGGTTGATGGCGGAGGTGCCCAGTGCGCCGAAGGGGCCAAGATCAGCCTCCAGCTGCTGGCCCAGGGCACCACAGGAGCACACTAGGGCAACCTTGTCGAGAGCGACACGGCCGCCTAACATCTGCCTGATGCCCGCCAGCAGCAGGGGGGCCATGTTCAGGATGGTAGCTCTAACGAAGGACCTGGAACCGATAGCCGAGATGCTGGTGTCATCGATGTAGGCGTCGAAAGAGAGGGGGCGCCCCCGGAGGGGCATGGGTTAGCCGTGTCCCCCCTCCACCAAACCCTACCCCTTGACCACGAAAGTCCAAGCGCACGAAGACCCGTGACCCAGCACAACAGCGGCGAGGGTGAAGGACTAGCCAATCCCGCAAGTTAGAGTGGGCGCTACCGACCCGCCTTCGGTTGTGTTAGGTTCGTTGCTATTGTTTTGGGTCACTGGCCACTGGCACTTGCGAGCCTATCACTGGACGCATTTGATTGTTCGGGGGCGGGAGTGTACAACCCACTTCGTCCAAACACCTATCAGGGGCGGTTGGGTCTCCGGACCTTTCCCCTGATGGTGGGCGGGGTGGCAGGACGGCGACGCCCTTGGTCTAGGCGCACCGTCAAATGGGTGTGCACACGTCGTTCGGCGGTGGTTTCGGCCATGGTCGGGCGGGGTGTGCAGTCCCTGGGCGCCGGTCTCACTCGGCGGTGGTTTCGGCCATGGTCGGGCGGGGTGGGCGTCCTAAAACGACCCATCGAAACCAGAAGGTGGTAACAAGGGCCAACTTAGATGGGAGCGCGGAGTGAACAGGATAGGGAAGCTATGAAGAGGGCGAGAGCTTGGTAACGGAATGCGAGGTCCATGAACACGAAGCGTCTGGGGACACGAGCGCCACACAACAAGTTTCGGATTTTGGCTGCGCTGCCCGTGTTGGTGTTTCTACACCGCGCGCTGACGATGGCGGGTTCCCCCGACCATCTGGGGGCGGCACAAGGAAGGGCTTGCCCCATCCATCTGCGCCAGGTCGCCGGTTTCCACCGAGTGGCCAGCCGCCCCCTGCCCCACGCGGCCGGGGAGAAACGTGTGGCGTGTTTTTGAGTGCAATTGTTTTGTGGGTGATGTTTCCGTGAATCTCGTCTCTCGGGCGCTCTCTTTAGGACGAACGTCTGGATCGTCACGCTCCCCCCGTGGGTGGGGTCCCCGGGGGCGGGGTCTCCCCTTCGGGCCTCCTGGGGCCTGGACACAGGGTGGAGCGTCATACAGCCTGGCAGTTCTGGGCCTCTTGGCGCGTCGGCCCCCCAATAGGGGTCGGTATGACTAAATGCGTCAAGTGGGGCCACTGTGCGTGGTGCTCACCGCTGTTGCGGCCACCTCCATGGGGGGCCGGGTCGGGCGCACCCCTTTCTCGATGTGCCTCCGCTATTGTGTTGCGCGCCTCGGGCGGTCGTTGCGTGGGCTGGTGCGGGTTTTGTTGCGGGGCTGTACACGCGATCGAGACGCGACGGTCTTCCCTCTTCCCATGGTTGCCCCCCCCCTGCCACTCTCTGGTCGGGCTCCCCTCCCCCCCTCCCCTTCCCCCTCCTCGGGCCCCCTGGTTCTCGTCCTGGTTTCTTCGGTCTCCCTGGTTCCTCTTCTGGCCTCCTGGGCTCCTGCTCCCCGCGTCCCCCCCCTGTGGGCAGACTGGAGAAGGGCGGCAGGGGGGCCAGCCGCTGTGGGCTTCCCCATCCTTCAGGTTGTACATTGAGGTTATACCGCCTGCTGGTCCGGGAGCCGCGCAGCGGCTACACCCCGGAGACGTGGACGTGGACGTGGCGTCGAAAGAGGAAAACTCCGTGGACTCCCGATCGATGCGGTGCAGGCTGAGCGAACGAGGAACGGTGTCAAAAACATCGAGGGCATGGACACGGATGAGAGAAGTGGCCATGCTGCAGCCCGCGATAATGCCGTGAGTGGCCCTCAGAGGGCCAGAGATGATGCCAGAGAGGCAGATGTATCGTGCCGACTTATAAACCGCCAGACACATATGCAGGACTCCCAGAGGAAACTGATGCCTGCGACCTCTAAGTTCCAAGGCCTCGAGGTCAATCAGCTCATAGTACTTATACATGTCCCACAGAACTGTGGCTGAGCAGGCACTTCGTCTGACACCAGCTTCCGATCTAAAGGCTTGGCGCCATACACAATCCATAGCCCCTCTGTGCCGTCCAGCGGCCCAGTAGTCTCTGGAGAAACGCGTTTCCCAGGCCTCAGCCGGGGGCCTGCGGGCCCGCCCCCAGAGGCGGTACACGGAGGAGAAAATGCCGATCGGCCGACAACCCCCCTTCTCCTTGGCCAACAAAGCCACCAGCACTGTCGAGAGCTGGGTCGGAAGAATGCCCGAGCGCTCAGCGAGCGAGAGGATCAAGCTGAGCACCTCCAGGCTGGCATCACTGAGGTGCTGAAAATGCCTCAAGTGAAAGCCATCGTAGGACACAGCACTCCTCTTAGGATACTTCCTGCTCAGCTTCCGAAAGAACTCCACATTCAGGGGGGGAGGGGCTCAGAATTTCTGCACCTTAACTTCGGGGGCGAAACACGGACCTGCCAGAGGCCCGAGTACGTTTTGACCTCAGCGTCAAGCAGCTGCTGGGGATCAGACACGACCTGACCCTCCGACGAGAGGGTCGTAGTGGGCTTCCAGCACAGGGGTCTTTAATCGCACAATGGGCATTGCGGGCACCCTGACTAAGTTTATCCGACAACCAAGCGTGCCAGTCCTGTCCAGCCGTACGCTGGTAGTGCTTCGTGCAAGCAGCGAGAACCTCCTTCTGGCGAACGAGAAGGGCCTCCAGCCTAGCAAGCCTCTCAGCCAGCTGGTCAGAAGGCCTCTCCGCTTCGCTCAGAGAAGGGTCCCTGGCAACATGCGAGGAGCCACCCCCGCCCTCGTCCACGCAAGGGGCGGGGGAGGCGCGTCCAGAGACCAAGTTTTTCAAAAAAACATCCAGCTCAACGCGGGGAGGAGGGTTAAAACAATCCCAGTCCTTGAGCGAGTCCCTGATGTCCTGCAACAGAGAAATGTTGTCCTGGTGGGTCAGCTGACCAGGGACCCACTCGGACTGGAGCACGCCCGTCAGCAGCTCGCCAACGGTGCGCCTGGTGCAGGTCGAGGCTTGACCAGCCCAGACTGCAGGTAAAAGCTGGGCAGCAGCGCGGAACCTAGAACAAAACCACCTCATGGCTCGAAGCTTTGGGTACCGCCTAGCTTTGACATGAGGAGGAGGAGGAGAAGGAGGAGGAGGAGGAGGAGGAGGAGGAGGAGGATTCTCCCGCTCGCGCGCCAGCGAGCTGTCTCCGAGCGCGGCCGCGGCGTGCGCGCGCGGGGCGGCCCAAAATGGGCAGGCCCGTCCCGCGCGCTCAAGCCGGGGCGCCGCGCGTCAGACGGTGGAGTCCGTCTGGTCGCCGATGTCGGCGAGGCAGCGCCCGTCAGCCTTAGAGTGGGAGGGGAGGGAGGGGGGCTGAGAAGCTGCGGAGACAGCAGGAGCTTGCTCACGGAGAATATAAGAAGCATTCTCCCGCTCGCGCGCTAGCGAGCTGTCTCCGAGCGCGGCCGCGGCGTGCGCGCGCGGGGCGGCCCAAAATGGGCAGGCCCGTCCCGCGCGCTCAAGCCGGGGCGCCGCGCGTCAGACGGTGGAGTCCGGCTGGTCGCCGAGGTCGGCGAGGCAGCCATACCCGTGCTCAAGGACCTTGCGAAGTGACAAGGTTTTGGCGGGCGGCCGCAAGCAGGGCAGGCCAAGCGGCGGGGCCGACTTGGAGGAAAGACGCGACGAGGCGGTCGCTGGCGGTGGCGAAGAACAAGATACGAGCCCGCGCGTGCTCGGGCAGCGCAGCAAGAACTGTAGAGGCGGCGGCGGCTTGCAGGTAGCGCTCGGCACTGGAAGCCTGACGCCAACGCCCACGCCAGAAGACGCGAGGGACGTCTTCCGTAGCGATATAGACGTCTGTTGCGCCAGAGCCCCGCAGACAAGCGGGCGTCAGGTTGAGCCCCTGACCTGCTTTGGCAAGAGGGACGCCCAGAGCCAAAAGCAGATGATTCCACCGAGTACGGAAGCCGCTCGCACCGAAGGGGGCGAGAGGATCGGTGGAAGCCAGCCTCCCAAACACAAGATTCAATATCTTCACCGTGCCCCGATCGGAGCAGCGAGCATGTTGCGTCGGGTACGTTCTTCTGGTCTTTGGAACAAGAGTCGAAAGAAAAGCATCTCCTTCGACTTCGAGACGGTCGCACGGAAGCGACAGGTCACAGCGGCGGGACGCCAGCAGTTCGCCAGGCCTGAGGAACATCGTGAAGCCCATGAGCAGCAGTGCCGCCATCACAGGCCAGTCCCAGGCGAGACAGAGCCCGACCATGGCGCGCAGCAGCGCGCGTGGCAAGGGGGGACGGAGCTTTGGCGGCTCTGCAAGCTTCCATTGTTTCGCTACGTCCCAAGCTTCTGTCAGAAAGGCCTTCCAATGCGGATGGGCGCTCTGGATTCCCAAGATGGCGTGGACCAAAATATAATGGGGAAAACCTGCATCATGAAGCCACACGCCGAAGGTCGCTAGGAAACGGGCGAGAAGTATCCCGCTTCGGTAAAGCGTGGCGGGTGGCACGCCAGTGTGTTCTGCCAACCACAGCTCGAAGGCATCAATCGATCTCGAACGACGGTCGAGATACGCGGAGGTGAGGTGAGAATCGCGCACGAAAGGAGTGCGCGGAGGGCGAGCGGGCGCGGGCGGCGCAGCTCCACTAAGCCCTTGGCCGGCGGTCGGCGCCGCGGCTCCCAGAGAGACGCAGAGGCCGCAGACGCACCACAGGATGAGCGCAGGGCGGCCAGGGCTCGGAGAGCTGATGAGTGTGGCGGCCCTCCTGCGCCTGGACGCGTAGAAGGGCGGAACGAAGGCGTCCCGCCCGTCGGTCTCGAACCCCGACGCCTCAGCCAGCATCGCCCGCGCCGAGCTGAAGGACCCGCCCATGTTACGGTAGGCGCGGCGAGCCCCTGCTTCGATCTCGGCTGGCAGAGCGTCCCCTTTCTCGAGGGTCGGCCAGTCAAAAGGCGGGCGCGGCTCGGCACGCGCCGCTGCGGCTGCTTCGGCCAGCTCGGAACGAGCTGCCGAGGACGTGAGGCCCGAATGATGAGGCTCGGGCACCACCTCCGCGAAGGCGTCGAGGATCTCGGACGGAGGGGAATGGGATCCCCACAGCGCTGCTGGGATGGCGCCGTGACTGTCCTGCACGTGGTACAGAAAGT